CACGGCGCCACCAGGGAAGTCCCAGCATGTTTCACAGAAGTTTGCACCTAGTGTTTAGCTAATCAATAGCTGCAAGATTATATAAATATTCACATCAGCACTGATTATGTGAATGATTGATGGAACCAGTTAGTCTAATTGGGTTCTTCTCTTTAAAGATATTCCAGTGGTTCTTACCTGGTATTTGGGAGAATTCCTTATAGCCCACAGGTAAAGGTACTGATAAATCCACACACAATGTAGACTTTTTTGACATCATAAGGAAAGCCTGACGAAACAAGACTATGAAATAATTGAGATGGTCTGTGATACTTTAGAAGTGTTGCTGTGTTTTTATTTTTTGCTGGATGATCACGAGTATCACACCCAGTCTATCAGTTTTATGCCCTAGTCCTAACCATTCAGTAACATATTAGAGAAACAGCCCAGCCTGGCCTCAGTCTTTCCGTGAAACATGCATCACACTCTGTGGTCTCACACAGATTTATTTTAAGGGTTAGGACTTCCCTTTATCAGAGCAATAGCAAGAAATGCCTCTGTTTCCTCCTTTCCTAGGCAATTCCATTTTATTTGGTAAGTATTAGTCAATATTTCTGTAGCTTAGAGGAACTATTTCAATTTTTTAAACAAATTGAGTAGTTTGAAAGCATAGTCTTTTTGTGTGTTATTCTTGTTGGATTATTGATGTTGATTCATCCTGTGGTGATGCTCTGGTAGAACAGAAATTAAATAAGTCATAAAAAAAACCCAGTAAATTTTAGCTCCTTTAAAATGGCCATTATTAGTATTTAGTAGGTCCTGCCCTAGATTTAAATAATATCTGCTCGGAGCCTCCTCAGAGATGGCATTTTTCTGCCTGAAAGAGTTTGCGCTGTTTTATGCAGTTGTCTGGGAGTCATGGTGATAAGCCCCTCCTGATGTTCTATTAGGTAAATCTTTTCTATACCATTAGAAATTGTAATAATTAATGTACAAATGATGCTAGCCAGTAATTAAATTTACTATTCTGACTCACAGATAAATTCAGGATGAAATTAAAATATTGAAGCAAGAGCCATTTTTTGAAGACATCATTTTAAAGGGCTTGCCCATATGTTGTCTAATTTGATAAGCTACTAAAAAGTACGAGGTATGGAAATAGAAGGACTCATTTTTTAAATTATTTTATTTATTTATTTATTTATTTGGTTGCTCCCGGTCTTAGTTTCGGCAAGCGGGATCTTCGATCTTCGTTGCGGCACGTGGGATCTGGTTCCCTGACCAGGGAGCGAACCCGGACCCCCTGTATTGGAAGTGCGGGGTCTTAGCCACTGGACCGCCAGGGAAGTCCCAAGGAGTCATTTTGTTGTTACTACTGTTACCATTCTCAGAAATGTCTCAACCAAAATTTCAATGAATTGTGATATGGCGGTCTGTTGTTTTTTATACAACAGCTGTATTGTGATACTTTATATATCATTCAATATACCCATTTAAAGTGTACAATTAAGTGTTTTTTAGTGTACTCACTGTTTTATAACAGTCACCACAATCACTTTTTGAACATTTTCATCACCCCCCGCCAAAAAAAAAACCCTGCACCCCTTAGCAGTCACTTCCCATCTTCCCCAACACCTCCAGCCCTAGTCAACATCTAATCTACTTTCTGTTTCTGTGGATTAGTCTCTTTTGGACATTTCACATTAATGTAATCACACTTTCCATTAGTGACTACTTTTATTCACTAAGTTTATATTTTCAATATAAGCACGAAACATACTTCATTCCTCTTTATGGATGAATAATATTCCATTGTATGGCTATTATCTCATTTTGTTTTTCTGTTCCATATTGATGGACATTTAGATTATTTCCACTTTTCAGCTGTTAAGAATCATGCTGCCATAACCATTTGTCTATATGTTTTGTGGGAAATGTGTTTTCTCTTGAGCATATACCTAGGAGTAGATTTGTTAAGTCTATGTCAACCTTTTGAGGAACTGCCACATTGTTTTACAAAGTGGCTGTACCATTTTACATTCCTACCAGCAGTGTATGAGGGTTCCAATTTCTCCACCCTTCACCAACACTTGTGTCTTTTTGATTACAGCCATCCTAGTGGATGTGAAGTGGTATCTCATTTTGCTTTTGATTTCCTTGTGATCTTTTCCTCATTTGTCCTAAACTTTTCTAAATTAAAAGATAATCAAACAAATTCTCTCCGATTTTTGGAGCATACTTTTTCTCTAGGTTCTGTCCCTCCACTTTTCCCACTATTGAAAATGTTGCCAGTGTCCTATTTTGACTGGAAAATTACAGATAATGTGAAATAACAGTTACTCCCAGCAAAATGAGGATGGGATTGTAACTGTTTAAAATACGGTCCTCCGGGGCTTCCCTGGTGGCGCAGTGGTTGAGAGTCCGCTTGCCGATGCAGGGGACGCGGGTTCGTGCCCCAGTCCGGGAAGATACCACGTGCCGCGGAGCGGCTGGGCCCGTGAGCCATGGCCGCTGAGCCTGCGCGTCCGGAGCCTGTGCTCCGCAACGGGAGAGGCCACAACAGTGATGAGGCCCACGTACCGCAAAAAAAATAAAATAGAGTCCTCCTTCTCAAAACTCCCTAGTTCTTGATTTTAAACCCTGAAGGAAGCAAGCAAGAGAAAATCTAAGAATGAGATCCAAGAAGGAAGCCCATATAATTTTTGTGTACTTCTACAAAAACAAAAAGAACAATGGAATAGTAACTTTACATATTGTTATAAAACCTAAGAATAAAAAGGAAATAGCCCATTCACTACATACTGGATTTAATAAGAAAAGGCAAGAATAAAGCAAGTAATACTTTGACACACCATGAGCTAAATTTTATAATAAAATTTAAAAAAAGGAGCGGGGGGAGAAACAAAACAAAACAGAACTCATTGACAGCCAAAGACGTCTGATTTTTTTTTCACTTAGCACAGCAAGATGTGCTAAAATTACTTCATCATAAAAGACTTCCTGGATGAGAAATGCCCCCACCCTTGATTTTTTTTTTTCTTTATGAAACAAAACTAGGTCTGTATTTGTGGGGGGGAGTTTGGCAGACATGCTGATTATAATACTGTATTGAAAAATATTTACTTTGATGGACTAAAAACCAGCTGCTGTTCGCGGTAGTTAAAAGCCTGTAATAATGTCTTCACTTTGGTGTTCACCACACTTTTATGAGATTAATAATAGGATCCCCCAATCTCCAAGTGGAGAAACCAAGAGAGGACGCTTGAGAAATGCTTTCCTATCTTCTCCCGGGACTCCCCCAAAACCATGCTGCTTGGACATGAGCTTATTGAGATCAGAGACCTTGTTTCATAGTTACTGTATCTTCTTTGCCAGGATATAGGCCTGGCACACTGTAGGTCCTTAAAACATGTTGCACGGATGAAAGGCAGGCAGAAGCATTCGATTAATTGACGGACAGACCTGGGTTAGAGGTCTTGCGGGTGCCACTTACAAGCTGAAGTCTCTACATGAAGTATGTCATCTCATTAAACGTCAGTTTCCTCTTTGCAAAATGAGGATAATACTAGTATCCACTTCATTAGGGTGTAGAACAGCAAGCATTCGATTGTTATTAGCTCTTAAGTTGAGCAAATTTCCTGACTCCTCATTCAGAACTGGGTGGCCCTGCTGTTAATGAGCCTGATTACACATGGTCAAGTATGTGCACACGTACTGTCAGCTCAGGCTTTATTTGAGAAGAAGCGTGGGAAGCAATTGAGGAGCTGTTATTCGGACATCAATTTCTTAAACTCCACTGAATTAGATTAAGCCCTCACTTTTAGGGAATCATGCACCCGACACTGGGAAGGATGAAATAAAGAAGTTTTCCAGTATGAATATTCTTGTCTTTGGATGTTAGCCCTGAGTCTCAGAACAAAAACAAGTCAGTAGTTAATAGTTACTGTATCTTATTTTCCAAAACACACATGGATCATTGTTACAGTCATTTGCAGATGGTTTTGCATGACACACTTTTGCTTTTGTGTTTCTGCTAAATCACTAAATGACTAACCTTCCCGTTCCTAATGTATTAAAATTGTCACAGGACTCTTTTCAGATAAATGTGTCGATAAGGCTCAGTTTGAGCAATGGGGAAAAAGGGAAAGCCAAGTGAAGAGCTCTTGATCTTGTGATCAGAATAATAAAGTGGAATCCAAGGATTGCCCCATAATGAATGGATTATTTGGATATAAAAGGAAATTATTTTTAGGTGTGGCATTCCTATAAACCCTGAAGCTATGTGTTTTACAAACTAGAAATTTATGCACTAAATCAAAATTACCAGATGTCAGTGTTTGTATGTGCCAACTGGCAAAGAAATTGAGAAGGTTCAGAAGTCTGGAAGAAATGATGCTCACTTCTTTGCCATTCAAACTCAAAAAGGATAGTTGAGGTAAAATGCTGTTTAAAAAACTACAGTGTCCTCAGCTACCCAAAGATGTCACGTGTTACAAATTGTTATCTGAAAGGCTTTCATTTTTTTCCCCCTCATGACTCCACGCATGTTTGTGGCATTGCAAATGTAATCCATGTTTCTATTCTAATTTTTTTTTTTTTTTTTTTTTTTTTTGCGGTACGCGGGCCTCTCACCACCGTGGCCTCTCCCGTTGCGGAGCACAGGCTCCGGACGCATAGGCTCAGCGGCCATGGCTCATGGGCCCATCCGCTCCGCGGCATGTGGGATCCTCCCGGACTGGGGCACGAACCCGTGTTCCCTGCATTGGCAGGCGGACTCTCAACCACTGCGCCACCAGGGAAGCCCTCTATTCTAATTTATTACATTCTTTCCGGAGGCTTATCTCATTCTTTTACAGGGTCAGCAGATATCTTATTTAAAGACCCAAGCTGAGCACAGCAGCCTCGTAAAGGTCCAATACAGAGCTAAATGTATAATAGGATTCATTATTTTTATCTTGCACATACCAGCACACCTCAGTAATTTTCATGAAATCATCAAATGGATTCTCTTCTCTCCTTAGAAATTCGAGCTCAACTGGTAGAACAACAGAAATGCCTGGAGCAGCAAACAGAGATGCGAGTTCAGCTTCTGCAGGACCTGCAAGATTTCTTTCGGAAAAAAGCCGAAATTGAGACGGAATATTCTCGGAACCTAGAAAAGTTAGCAGAAAGGTTCATGGCAAAAACAAGAAGCACTAAGGATCATCAACAGTACAAGTAAGAGGGACTTGGCTCAAATTCACCTTTCCAAGGGGATATCCTATCTTTTTACCACCCTTACTGGTTTTAGAATTTTCCATTTTTGTCTGAAAAGTTGTTGATTGATATATCCCCATAGATAAAAGCAGCCCTCTGCATTTATAATTTATGAGCATAAATGTATTACATTTTAAACTAATAGTATTCTCTTGACATGTTTCTCTTTCCAATAAATACACTAGGAGTTGTTGTTTAACACAGGTAGGTGTTTGGATGGGCAACTTTTAAATAGCTGATTCTTCAAGCAAAGACCTCAAGATTTCTGTATAGTGATCTTACATGAAAATAAGCAGTGAGGGTTGCTTAAATTTATATCCCACCCCCCAATCATGCTTGTGGTCATTGCAGTTGAGACTGACTTAAAACAAGGGCTTTTGGTAAAATGCGTACAATCTAGCTTAATTAAACCTTATATTAATTGCACAGTTGACCCTTGAAGAACACAAGAGTTAGGGGCACCAATCCCCTGCACAGTCAAAAGTCCACATACTGCTATCTCTGCCTCAAAAATAAAGGAATTGATAAATGAGTCATCTAAAGGCAGGAAGCTGAAACAGTTATGGACAGATCAGGACCCAAGTTCTACATATTGTGATCTCTAACTGAACAGAAACTTTCCCCCTCATCTAGTTAATTTAAGGATGTAATGAAAATAGATGTACTATGTTTTTTTATATAAATTTTTTATTTTTATTTTTGGCTGCGCAGGGCCTTTGTTGCCGTGTGCGGGCTTTCTCTAGTTGCGGCAAGCGGGGGCTACTCTTTGTTGCGGTGCATGGGCTTCTCATTGCAGTGGCTTCTCTTGTTGCGGAGCATGGGCCCTAGGCGCACGAGTTTCAGTAGTTGTGGCTCGCGGGCTGTAGAGCGCAATCTCAGTAGTTGCGGCACACGGGCTTAGTTGCTCCACGGCACGTGGGACCTTCCCGGACCAGGGCTCGAACCCGTGTCCCCTTCATTGGCAGGCGGACTTCTAAGCACTGTGCCACAGGGAAGTCCCACAGGGACTATATTTATTGAAAAACATCTGTGTAAGTAGACCTGCACAGTTCAAACCTATGTTCACTGTCAACTGTACTTCATTTGTTTAAAAAAAAAATACATGCAGGTTTTTCTGATGAGATTTACTTTAGAATTTAAATCTGAGACACGAGTAGGCAGACAACTCCCATAGAGTATACAAGGGCTCTGACGGGGTAGATGCCAGGGACAGACCTGATAGAAATCCATTCTGCGGTGTAGGTGGGGACAGCAGAGTCCAGGAAAGGTCCTGGAAGAAGTGATACGTAAGTGAAGACCCAAAGGACTAGTTGGCCAGTAAAGGGACCAGAGCAGAAGGTTCAGGCAAGGGGAACATCACTCATAAGAGACCAGAAGGGAAGGGGTGTAGGGTAGCTTTGCAGAGCAGAAAGTAGGCCGGTGGGAGTGAGTAGCAAGGTGGTGAGCTGTGTGGTGCCCATTGTACATTGTGCCAGATCATGGAGGCCTGTGGATCATACCAGGAAGTTTGGACTTTATCCTAAGGGCCTGAGAAGCCTTCGTAGAGTTTTAAGGAGAAAGAAGACCAGCTCACACCTGCATTTTGAGATGATGACAAAGACCGTAGATAGGATTGGGGGCTGGAGGAGGACACAGTCAGGGGAGGGAGGCCAGGTGGAAGACCCTCACCATAATGGCATGAACTAGCAACACTGCAGGTAGAAAGAAATAGACTTGTTTAGGAGATACTAAAAAGACCTCCCAGTCTTTCATTTCTGGAAAAACAATGAACTAGATAATATGAAAAATACTTGTGCTGTAAAACTCCTGGAAATGCTGACTAAAATATAATAGACATCACTTTAAATGTATAACTGAACTCAGGAAAGTAAGGGAAATTTCCAGGGGCCAAAAAAGGAAAAGGGAATTGAAAACTTGAGTGGTGATTATATCACCCTTTAGTCCCACGTGGGGACAGAAGATGAGGCTAATGCAAGGTAGGGAGCTGGAAGGGAGGACTTCCCCATCACCAATCCTATTGCATGGCATCACAGCCTAAAGTCAGGAGCAACAGAACTACTATCTCAGTGAAATGGTAGAACAGAAAGCCACTCGCCCACCCACACAGGGGACAACAAAGAGGCCCGTCTGCTCAGCCTGGGCTCCAAATGGAAGGGGGTTGCAGAGAAGCGCATCTTAGCCTTCACCATTGGCTTTGCAGTTTCATGGATCCTACATAAAAAGTAGGGTAGGGACTTCCCTGGTGGTGCAGTGGTTAAGAATCCGCCTGCCAATGCAGGGGACACGGGTTCGAGCCCTGGTTCGGGAAGATCCCACATGCCGCGGAGCAGCTAAGCCCCTGCGCCACAACTACTGAGCCTGCGCTCCTAGAGCCCATGCTCCACAACAAGAGAAGCCACCGCAATGAGAAACCCATGCTCCACAACGAAGAGTGGCCCATGCTCGCTGCAACTAGAGAAAGCCCGAGCACAGCAATGAAGACCCAATGCAGCCAAAAATAAAATTAAAAAAAAAAAGAAAGGGTAGGTTTTTTGAGAAACCTCCATACTGTTTTCCACAGTGGCTACACCAATTTACATTCCCACCAACAGTATAGGAGGGTTCCCTTTCCTCCACACCCTCGCCAACATTTGTTATTTGTGTTCTTTTTGATGATGGCCATTCTGACACTACAATGAGGTGGTATCTCATCGTAGTTTTTTTTTTTTTTTTAATTTATTTGTTTATTTCTTTTTGGCTGTGTCGGGTCTTTGTTCCTGTGCAAGGGCTTTCTCTAGTTGTGGCGAGCGGGGGCCGCTCTTCATCGCGGCGTGCGGGCCTCTCACTCTTGCGGCCTCTCTTGTTGCGGAGCACAGGCTCCAGACATGCAAGCTCAGTAGTTGTGGCTCACGGGCCCAGTTTCTCCACAGCATGTGGGATCTTCCCAGACCAGTGCTCGAACCAGTGTCCCCTGCATTGGCAGGCAGATTCTCAACCACTGTGCCACCAAGGAAGCCCTCGTCGTAGTTTCTTTTTTAAAGAAGATGTTGGGGGTAGGAGTTTATTAATTTATTTGTTTATTTTTGTTGTGTTGGGTCTTCGTTTCTGTGAGAGGGCTTTCTCTAGTTGTGGCAAGCGGGGGCCACTCTTCATCGCGGTGCGCGGGCCTCTCACTATCGCGGCCTCTCTTTTTGCAGAGCACAGGCTCCAGATGCACAGGCTCTGTTGTTGTGGCTTACGGGCCTAGTTGCTCCACAGCATGTGGGATCCTCCCAGACCAGGGCTCGAACCCGTGTCCCCTGAATTAGCAGGCACATTCTCAACCACTGCGCCACCAGGGAAGCCCCCTCGTCGTAATTTTGATTTGCATTTCCTTGATGATTAGCAATGTTGAGCATCTTTTCATGTGCCTGTTGGCCATCTGCGTTTCCTTTTTCGCAATTCCACTCCTCGGTATATATCAAAAAAAAACAAAAACACTAATTCAAAAAGATACATGCACCCCAATATTCATAGCAGCATTATTTACAATTACCAAGGTATGGAAACAACCTACGTGTCCATGAACAGATGAATGGATAAAGAAGCTGTGTTAAATATGCATAATGGAATACTGCTCAGCCATAAAAAAGAATGAAATATTGCCATTTGCAGCAACATGGATGGACTTGGAGGGTATTATGCTAAGTGAAATCAGTCAGACAAAGACAAATACTGTATGATATCACTTATATGTGGAATCTAAAAAATACAACAAACTGGGCTTCCCTGGTGGCGCAGTGGTTCAGAGTCCGCCTGCCGATGCAGGGGACACAGGTTCGTGCCCCAGTCCGGGAAGATCCCACGTGACGCGGAGCGGCTGGGCCCGTGAGCCATGGCCGCTGAGCCTGCGCGTCCGGAGCCTGTGCTCCGCAACGGGAGAGGCCACAACAGTGAGAGGCCCGCGTACCGAAAAAAAAATAATAAATAAATACAACAAACTAGTGAATATAATAAGGAAGAAGCAGACTCACAGATATAGAGAAAAAACTAGCGGTTACCAGTGCAGAGAGGGAAGTGGGGAGGGGCAACCAGGGGGTAAGGGATTAAGAGGTACAAACTATTATGTATAAAATAAGCTACAAGGATATATTGTACAACACGGGGAATATAGCCAATATTTTATAATAACTATAAATGGAGTACAACCTATAAAAATTGTGAATCACTATGTTGTACACCTGTAACTTATATGATATTGTACATCAACTCTACGTCAATGAAAAAATTTTTTCTAACCCTCAAAGGAAAGGTAGGAACTTTTGAAGAAAAAAAGGAAGTAGGGGTCCTTTTGCAGAAGCAAATGCAGAACTATTCTGGGTAGGGAATACTTTTTTAATTTGTATTTTTGGGTGACTTTAACCTCTAGTGTTGGTCAGCATAGAAATAAATTTTGGTGATGGTTCCCAGGGTGAGCAAATATCAAATGTGCTTGACAGAGACTGGAGCCAGTACTACATCCTCATTTATAGAAACTGTCCCTTTTTAAAAGTGATTGCAAATAAGAAGACAGCCCATTTGTACATTCAGTAAATATTTTTGAATGTCTCCTTCTGTGTTCTGTACTTGGTAATCTCTTGTGAACTGAAAGCATGGATGGACCCATGCACCTTAGTCTGATCCCTGAATGGATCAGCTGCCACCTTTTGTTCCTCCTGGTTTTTTCACTAGTTTTCTTCAAAACGTAGGCAGCTCGGAATTTTCCTTGAGTAAGTTTATTATTGACTACAGAACTGAAGATAAGGTAATAAGTCTACAGAAAGGACACACCAGGGTTAGGGGGGAATAAATCAAAGACAGCCCTTTAGGAAAGAGTCACACAGACCTGGTTTGAATACTGGCTCTACTGTGTGACTTTGGTCAAGTTGCTTAACCTTTCTGAGCCTTGGTTTCCTAACTTGTAAAATGAGTTTTTGTGGCCAGTAAATGAGAAACGTAACAAATGGTTGATGTGATTAATAGCTGACATGGGGTATGCACTCAGTATTCCTTCTCTTCACGAAACAAATGTTAAATCTTTAGCACCTGTACTTTACCAATCATTTGAGCTGGGCTGTGGAGTCTAGCTCTTACTCAGTTTTGGGGTGCTTGTTGTGTGGGATAATCCTTGGCCTAAAGTTGCCACAGCATTGGTAGAAAGACCAAGGCTTGGATCAGCCTCCCTGGACTCAGAGACTTTCCCTGACACCAGCTTTGGTCTTGAGCAAATCATTGTGCCTTGCTAAAGCTTAAGTTCTCTTATTGATAGAGGGGATACAAAGCATCTCTGCCTTAAGTTGTAGTGGTAAGGATTAGGTAGAGTTAATATATGTAAAGTCTTTAGACCAGCCGCTAGATGAAAATCGCTAACTTTACACAGCACTTACTATGAATCTAAGGCATTCTAGTAAGCCCTAAAAATATATATATTAACTCAAATAATCCTCATAATCTTATGAGATCGGTACTGTTGCTTTACCCATTTTACAGATGAAGTAACGGAGGCACAGAGAGGTTTAAATAATTTGGCCAAGATCTCCTAGGTAATTGTTCCGGGATTTGAAGCGAGGCAGTATAGATCCATATTCCATGCTCTTGCCTTGTGTGCTCAGTAGGTGCGCAGTAAATGATAGCTTAGCTGCCTCTGTTGTTTTTATTGTTGTCGATACTGTTATCACTTACTATTAAGGCAATAAAAAGTGTTTGTTCAATGAATGAAATAACATTTATTTAATGCTGACCACAGGCAGGGCCCTGCGGATACAAAAAAGTATGAAATGTTCTCAAAGAACTTATGGGTTACTTCATCATAAAGGATATACAGAAAAGTTAATATAAGATAATGCTTACCTCTTGGGCTGGGCGGCTAGAGAATGTCAGTGGAAAGGCTTCAGTATTCTTCCATAGAACCATTGCCCCTTGCCCAATGGCTTTGAGAGAAAAGGAGGGTTCTTTAGGTTGGGGGTGTAATTCTTAATGTGCCAGCTGGGAGAGTGGGAGGCTTCTTTTCTGGGTGTAAGTACTGGGACCCTAGATCAGGGGTTTCTTCCCTTACACCCATCCATACTTCTGTGGTCTACTTCCTCTTTCTTTTAGAGAGGGTTTTGACTGATGCAGGGTTAAATCCTGAATCCGAGGGACATAAGGGCTGAAAGTCCTTCTTTAATCATTTTTCTAATTTAATTAGTATTCAGAATCATAAATCATCATGAATATTAGGAGGATAACATGTCTGATAAAATAGCACTAGTGTCCCTGAGTTAGGATAAACATTCTGTGCCATTTTGCCATTTTAGAGTTAGATTTTTAAAGTAAAAAAACAAACATTGTACTTTTTTTTTTTTTTTTTAAAGCAGTAATATCCCCGTCGGTCACTGCTTTTGTTTGGAGTTTTTCTTTAAAACTTTTTACAAGTTGCCCTTTGTGGTTTATATTCACTTTTCACTTTATTATGTAGAATAAAACAAGGAGTGGTTACAAATCTGAAATAACTTAATGGGTTTAAAAAGGAGATGTGACATGTCATAAGCCAGTAAACTTCTTGGTTCTATTCACAAGCCCTGAGACAATGCTGGAAAGTTCTGCTTCCCAGGAACACGTTTTGGGAGGCTGGAGGTTAAGTATCAGGGGATTAGTAAATCATCCTCACATTTGTGTTCCATGGAAAGTATACCTAGCCAAATTTCTTTTCCAACAGCAGACTGGACATTCAGAGCACGCTTTGCATTCAGTGGCAAACCACAGTCTGTCTGTGAGACAGTAGTCAATAGATTTTTATGTAAACATAAACTGCTTTCTTCAATGGGGCGTTTAAAGCTAAAAGCCTCCCATGCCCTTGTCAGGAGTGTGGGTTTTGACGGGTGTTCTCGGTTCAAGTTTTTTCTTCCAAGCCTAGGGGAGCTGCTGGCTGGGTGCCTTCCCAGCCTGGAAGGCTGTTCTGCTGGCTCTCAAGTGTCTTGCTATGAGCAATGCTCAGAGGAGAAAGAACAGGGACAGTGCCCGTCTGTTGTGGCTTCTAGTTTGCCTTGGTGACTTTCCCTTAGCTGATTGGGGCAGCTTTGAACTTGATGGTAATTCTCTCTCTCCTTCACTTCTTAGGAAAGACCAGAACTTGTTGTCTCCAGTGAACTGCTGGTATTTGCTCCTGAACCAAGTGAGACGAGAAAGCAAAGACCACGCAACCTTGAGTGACATCTATCTGAACAATGTGATTATGCGTTTCATGCAGATAAGTGAGGATTCCACCAGGATGTTTAAAAAGGTATCCTCCATCAATCCTGCCAGAGTGTGCTTCCCTATAACCACTGAGCCCGTAACCAAGACTGAGAAGGGTCTGCTGCCTTAATGACTTAATTGTATTCAATAAATATTAGGCTCAAAAAATAAATAAATGAACAGATATTTTAAAGACACAGAACGAAAAGTTAAATCGCTGCTGTCTTGGGAAAATGTTATCACAGTTTTTTTCTTATTCCCACCAGACTAGCAGCAGAAGCTGTGAGAGAGTGACAGGAAAAAAATTCCCCAGGGCATGGAAAATTCAGTCCCTTACTTGCCAGAGAGCTTCCTCCTTCCCAAATCCACTTTAAAAAAAAAAAAAAAAAGGAACTGGGCTTTTAAGGCTTCATATCATTGTTACCAGTCTCAGCCAGCTCTCAGCAATTTTTTTTGTTGTTTGGACATCTTTGTTGAGAACAATAACAAAATTGGACCATTTCCTGTGTAGGGAATGCAGCTACTTGCTCAATAAGACTGGCTTTTGGTTTTTATGTTTATAGGACAAGGGTTCTCTACCACCTCCTCAGCTTCATACTCAGGGTGTTTGGTGCCTATACCAATATCTGTACATCTATTCAGTAAGTAATTATTAGTTTCAGAAAGTGGGGGGGGAAACCACCTTGTAGATTAAAGACATTTATGTTTCAGAGGGACCCCTTAAAACAAAGTTGTGTCATGCAGGCCATCTGGGAAACTTCTTAGTCATGTTTGATGTGTCCACATTAGATTTGATTTCTGACCTAGAAATGGAATTTAGCAAACTCCAAGTTTTCTTTTGCTCTCTTAAATAGGAAAAAAAAAAAGTTTCAAACAAAGGAGAAATTTTTAAAATTTGGAAATAAGAACATATTAAGAAGAGACCACGTAGAGAAATATCCTATGTATCTTAAAACATAGAGATTTTTAAAAAATAGTTTAGACTGAGCCAGGAAAGTAAGTAATTTTCTCGTACGTCAGCCCTTTCTGCCAAGACCTCATTTGGTTCAATGGGCTTTTTGCGTCTTGTCCTCTATGAGTGAGAGATGGTGTCAGGTCTTGGAAAGGTTACTCTGATGAAGAAAAACTAGTCCCCGTGCTCAAGGAGGTCACAGTTAATCCAAATTTGTATGACACTATATGATGCTTCCCAGTCATGGGGATGCTGGCAACCTTTCAGCCAGGGCCTCTGGGACCAGCACCTCAATTGACTTCGTTTATTTATCCATCCAGCAAAACATCTTTAAAATGCCAGGCCGGGAAGCAGAGTTAAAAGACACGTTCCCTGCCTACAAAGAATCCATTACAATAATTAACAGTCACCACAATAAGGGAACACACAACCTGTGGTAGAAACTTGAAGGCTGGAAATCTTAACCGTACTGAGGGGCCAGGATGTTCTTCATAGAGGAGGGAACACCCGAAGTGAGACCTGTAGGAGATGGAGGTGGTCATCAAGCAGATGAGAACAATGAACTATTCCAGGTAGAAAGCAGAAGCGTGACACATTCAGGGAAAGGAAAGAGTTTGGTGTGACTGGACCAGGGGTTGTATGGGAGTGAGTGATGGGGTGTGAGGCTAGAAAGGACTGTCATATCAAAAGGGACTTTGCATGTCTTGCGAAGCTGTAAGGATTTGTGTTTTGTATGTCAAAGTCAAGGGCTTCATAAAGTTGATGGAAACGTGGGGCTGAGAGTCAAATGGATTGGGACTTGAATCCCAACTCTTCTGCTTTTGTGATCTTGGGAGATGATTTAAGAGAGTGCTCTCTTCTGTCTAAGGGAGTGGGGAAGGCTGGACTGGCAGAAGGGGAAGGTGAGCCTATGGGAGCTCTGGGGCTGGGATGGCCCTTTGGAGTTTGTCGCCAAGGAGGCCTCGCCTTTGTTTTGCAGACATTGGATTTGAGCTGCCCTTGGGGAGGGGCTAAGTAATCTTGGGGTGATGCAGCTCCCCTTGGAGGGTAGTTCCCAAGGGTGATTCCGAGAGAGAGGTCAGCTGTAAGTTTCGACAGCCAGCAGCCAATATTCCCAGTAGTTGGGGAAATATGTTCTTGAAAGAGGGCCTGAGGAATGTACAGTAAGTACACACCACGCCTGCTTGTTTGCTACCTAGAAGTTCTCTTCTTATCCAGATTTTCTGGGACTCAGAATTGTAATCCTTGGAAGCTGCCTATTTATAGCAGACTCCTGGTTACTTCAGCATTTAGTGGGGGGAACAGCCTTCTCACCGCTGACTGTTGCTGATCAGCTGGAAAGTTCATAGTCATTACAGTGACAGGTACAAAGTTCCACTTCCTCAAGCAGACCCAGCAGATGACATGCCTCACCTTTCCATGTTTTTCAAATTAAGAATAAGAGAAGGTAAGACTGGAGCTTCTTGAGGAGCCAGATCAGCCCACTAGGACACATTTGTCATCTGCAAAGATAGGAAGGCAGGACCCGTATCTGTCAAGTCCAGAGAACTTCATATCCCTTTAGATTAAAAAGCAAGACTAGGCTTTTCTGCCTTTTTTTTTTATATATATATCATCAAGCCGTTCTCCTTCTCCAGCTCTTCTTCCATTGTTATGGTTCCAGAAGCATATTTTTTTATCAAAACAGAAGGAAATGATCAGAACCAGTCTGAATTGACCTTTAGAACTTGTGTGGAGTCCTTAGTGAGCATAATGCTTGTTCTTCTTGGGAGGGGATTTTGCAACTTACTCGTTTTTCAAAAATAACCCCATGTCTGTATGGAGATCCATTTAGATGCTGGGTGCTTGACAGGTACACCGTCTTACACAGCTGTGTCATATTCAATTTAGTCATTGACCAAGAATCCTTTTACCCAGACTGTTCTATCAAATAAGGAGTTTGGAGCAGGTAATTCTAGGAATGTTTTTGTTTCCAAATGGATATAATAATCAGGAAGACACTTATAGGAATACCTAATTCCAGGCATAGGTATAGGCAACAGCTTCAAGACTTAAATTTTAATCACATCAGAACCAGTTTTAGAAATAGTTGCCTATACTTGACAGTTTTCAACGGGTAAAAAAAGGGAAGCTTTAAAAAAAAAATAATACCCAATTATTCAAGTATCAGCTATTTCAAATTTAGGTCTTTAGAGCTGTAGATGAAGCCTGTTGGTCAGAATAACATAGTGATTCATCTCTAAGTCTCTGACATCAGATACTTTGCGTATGAATCTTAGTTTTGTCACTCTTGTTATCTTTGTGGACCTGGGAGTGTTTGTAAACCTCTTAATTCAAGTCTCAGTTTCTGCATCTGTAATAGTAACCTATTTCAGATACCTGTATGGAGATTCATGAGTCCTGCATGGAAAGCTACTTAACCCCAGTGTCTAGATTTAATGCTAATATGGGCTAGCTAATTTTTAGCTGTTATCTTTGTTATTATCTATACTGTAAACACTTATTCCTTACACCTGCAATAATTATGTGAAATTACACCAGGCATTATCTTAAATGTGTCCTCATTCTAAAGAGACTATGTAGCACAACTGTGATGAACACCGTCCAGATCGTCACATGGTATTTGTATATCACTTATTATGAAGTTCCAAACCATGTTTGTAAACAGACTCTGAGAAATGCTCCAGCACCCTTGCTTGGAGCTGAATTAAAATTTTGGTCCTCACATTTCAACAATTAATGGGAACTTAGGGGATAATGCAGTGAATACCTGTGTTGGTCAGCACCCCCTGTGCCTCTCAGGTCCCCCACAGCTATTTCACATAGACAGTCTTAACTTTGAGGCTTCACTGATTTCTTCATTCATTCAACAATGAGTTATTCAATTCCAGACCCTCTGTTAGGTATGGACAATGTGAGCACAGACAGAGTAGGACTCTGCTTTTACTCTCATAAGTTCTGCTTTACTGTTTTAGGAGAAGGTCAGAAATTGGAGACTCCTTGTACACAGGGGTCTTTCATTATCAGTCCTACTGTCCTTCCCGAAGAACCAGAGGCAGTGAGGTGCCTCTTGCCGTGTTCTCCAGCCCTGCCTGCTGGAGTGATGAGATTTTGCCACCTTCTTTCCATTACTCACACTCAAGAGTGGTCTGCATCTGGGTTGGCGCTGCAGCCAGAAATTGTGTGATTCGTATGTTAAACATAAAGTAATTAGCGTCAGCAGTCACCATGTAGGAAAGACCACAGCTAGCTTGCAATAATCACTTTATTTAAGCACCTTATCACATGATCTTCTGTATCAAGTTTACGAATGTTAACAGAAGTATGTAGTTTAGAGGGAGCACCATAAAATGGCAGCCTTTGAATATGTTAAATTATCTCTGTGTGTTTTAAATTATCTACAAGTCTGTCATTTCCCCATGGATTGTTTTCAAATTATTAATGTTTTTATTCTTGGTTTGCATAAATATGTGTACAAATATAATTTATTTTGTTTCTTCACCAATAATAATGACATAACCCTACCACTTTACTGAATTTTAACTGTGCACCCAGCACCATGCCCAGCGTTTTTCACACATTAACTCATGCACCCTCACAGCTGCCCAATGAACAGGGATTATAAGCCACATTTCAGGGATGAGGAAACAAAAGGCTCAGATGTAATTTGCAGAGCTGGGCTGGCTGGTACGTCTTCTTGTCTTTGCCTGTACGTCTTAGGTAGTTCGTAGTTACTATAACTGTGTTGGTGTTTTTCAGTGGTAACTGGAGATGTTACACAATGCACAGGTTAGAAACTTCTGAGATTGGGACACTGTGGGTCTTGGCCCCATTCATTTCTAATGAAAATCCTGAAGAATGATAGTTCTGGATGAGGCAGCAAAATCTGTCAGTCATCCAAGTTATAGGCAGAGATTCAAAGCAGCAGAAACTGGCTGCAAGCCACTGAGAATGACCTCACTTTGGCCTAAATGCCGTAGGTTATCAGATTCAGACTCACAGGAATTAAATTAACCCACTTTTGGTATTGTTGATTGTATGGCCTAATCTGAAAGGAAAGAGAAATTACTAGTAAGATTTGGAAATTTGAGGTC